TCTAGCCACAAGAGTTGTATCTTGTAGCTTTTGTCTTCGCCTTAGTTTCAATATATCAGGGACGGTTGGTACTGTTAATTCACGCGTCAAATGACGCAGACCAATCCTAGCAGATGGATTCGGTATCTCTTCTCGCGTTCTTTTCCTGCTTACCGAAGACATAGCATTACTTGTGTTTTTTAATGGAATTTTTTTTGCGTCGGATACAGGTGAAGAAAAGTGTTCTAATGCTTCCAATATCTTTTTGGCGGTTTGACTCATACCCGATGAATCAACTCCTACTGCATCAGAAGGTTTAACTTCAACACTTGTTCTCCTTGGTACTTTAAGTTGTATCTAAAATAAATATATAATTCGAAATCTATAATCTATTATATCAATAATATTATATAATTGTTTAAAATAATTCAAGACACAAGAGAACGAAACTTCCTTCATACTGAGGATACATACCTCATTTGAATTGTTAAAAATATTACGACTTCGTTTATAAAGACCTACTGCATTTGCACCTCCGAAAGTAATATTACCACTATAAAAAGGAGAAGATAGCGGAGATGCACGATCTACAGCATTTGTTATAATCGATGCATTAAAACTCGGTCTACGACTGCTTAAAGAATCGCGAGAATTACTGTCTAAAAACAAAGACCTTGGAGATTGTAAATGATTAGCTGAAACAAAAGGATAATACTCATATACTACATGTCGACATTTTAATATCCTTTAAAAAAATAACAATTCAACAAAGTACAAAACGTAAATGATTTAATTAACACATTTAATTAAACTTTACAGGACAGGAAAACAGAGTATTGCTGAATATTATACTTTGAGGCAAAGAATACAACAAAAAATACGAATTATTAACAAATCTTACTTGAGAAAAAGCTGTAAAATTTAAAAATATCACCTTTTTCTAAAGATTAACTAATTTAATATCACGTATTTATGATTAACTTTTACATATAATATAGGATTAATACTCACTAAATGTCAATTTATCATCAAGATGCCTCTTTCTACTAGTAAACATTGAACTGTACAACAAGTTTGATGAGCCTTCATGCCTATTTATCTGTGGAATAAGCGAACTGCATCCGCTAGTACTTTCACTGGATTCCGAATTATCATCCATTCCATTTGCTATTCCGTTATTAGTCAAAGCTAACGAATTTAAGTCAGACCTATGAGACGTTACAGTCCTAATGTCTGCTTGTACCGCAGGAGTCGAAGTCCTTAAATGTCCTATTCCACTTGGTCCAGCTGTTGCAAAATCTTCCGTCTGTAAATAAGTTCTAATAAGCAAACTACCTCCACATACATTTCGTCAAATAAATTTGTTCAGTTACCATTTCATTATGAATAGGATATTGTTCTTTAGAGGGTTCAATTGTATTTAAAGCAGTTTTAACTCTTGTTTGTATAGAAAATGTGCCAGGTGGATGAATCATATCCATACGAATACGTGGTCGTTTGCTAGGAGGAGGCTGCTGCACATCATCCTTAAATTCTGTCTCTTCAATATTCCCTCTACCTTCTAATGCATCTTCATTACTTTGAGAGGTATTGAACCACTTACTAATCCATGATGACTGTGGTATAAAATCTGTTACCTTGGTTGCCACTTTTCTCACAAATGACTATAAAGAATATAAATAGACAAATTATGAATATATGTATAATGATGCAAATTTATATATTATGATAACATTTTACATCGCAATTGTTGATATCTCTATTAGACTGAAATATACTACAAGCAACATAAAAATATATAAAAATATTTGTATTCTATAAGATTGATAACAATATTTTTAAATAAAATCAAATAACGAAAGTCTTGCAAATTTGGAGTAAAAATAACATTATATTGTAAATTTTACCGAGTTCATACTTTTTACTTGATTAGGCAGTAAGCAAAAATAAATTTCTCAAGCTACATTTTAAGTCGTGTTACCGCACAACGTAACCGTGAAGATTTGCGCGAAGACCTACGCAGAGCGCGCGATGCTCAGCAAGGAGGGGGACGCAAGAAAGAAAAAAGAGAAAGAGACGCATAGAGGTATACAATTCGTGTTTCTTAAACTCCCGGAGGCTTACATGAACGAACGGATGCACTGCTCCGCGACGGAGTCGCGCTGCAGCAATTACCGTTCGTCGGAAATGTCTCGCGAGTGTTCGCGCGCGCGACACGGGGAGGAAATTGAGGTTATCATCGGGCTCACTCACATAACCGTGACACCGTGGGCATTGCGCGGGGGTATCACGTCGTAGGGAAAGGGTGGGTATGCGGGACATCATGCGGCAAGGAGTCGGTACTCGTCGTCGATCCGATCGCTGTGCTACCCTGGGGACGAAAGGGCGCGTGAAGGGCGCGCGGCCCATCTCCGTCGCGGGCACGCGGCGGTCGCTTGTCGTGGTGACGAGGTGGCTACTCACGTTGTTCGCGTCGTAGGGCTTCGCATTGCGCGACGACGGCCGCCTGCCGGCCGGATTACCGCCTTCCCTGGGCATGATTAGCCGTTCTCACTCCCTGCACTCGTCGCTGCACGACGACCGTTACGAAACGCACACGCGCGTCGCAAACATCGCCTCCCTAGAAATTCGGTCACCGCCGGAACCGCGCACCACCTTTCCTACCTCCTACGGACGAGAGAGAACCACGAGAGGCAATATGGCCGCGCTCGAATCACGAACAAAAACCGCCACAGGGGCGCCAGCAGGTTTCCTTCAAATCGTGTCCTACTGCGCGTGTCCTGCCCACGTGACGCGCGCGTGCCACACTCCCGTGGAGTTCGACCAATTGAAAGCACGAGACTGGACTTTTTGCTCCTCTTGCACTTAAACGTAATTTAAAACAATGCGGTATGTAAGCCAAACGTATCCCATTACGGAGGATATAGTTTTTTTTTAAATTTCGAGAATATAAAGGAACTTAAGTGAGTCAAATGGATTAATCGGGATGCTTCCAGAAATTCTAGAATATTCTGGAAACTTTAATGGCGTTTTCGATCAAGGGACCTATTACGGTTTTCGGATTGAGTGAAAATGACGAAAGTGAGAAACTCACCCAGTTGGTTGATTTCACCTCGTGAGAATACGAAATTATGGCTCCAGGGTATCAATCATGTAACTTTTTATCTAGAGCGGCAACGTGAAAAGTGAAAATTTTTATGAATGTATATATGAACATATACACACATATATATAAAAAAATTTTCACTTTTCACGTTTTTGCCCTAGAAAAAAAGTTACATAATCGATACCCAGCACACTAGAGCCATAATAACGCTTGCCGCGCGGCAAGCGTTTCAGCGTCCAGTGTGCTGAGCCATTATTCGTGTGAGCAGGCTCAGCGACAGAAGTTGGTATAGTTCCAATACGGATGTAGTTCAATTTGAGGTGTATGTAAATAAATTAAACGGTTTCGGATCAATTACGGACGGGACATACAAATTAGAAATTCAAATGATAAATTACGAACATGGAAGCTACTTTGACAAAGGTCAACAAATACAGATTAAGGGAATTGTTAAAATAACAAGTTAATTATACATTAAAAAATGTGTAAAAAAAAATGATGTTATTTAAAAATGATGTGTTTAGAGTCCCACTCAAATGCACTTTGAGTAACATGTCATCCTTATTTAACGTTCGATAAACAATAAGGATAGAATGATATCTGGGTGATACTTGAGTGAAAATTTTCTGAACATAGGTCGGTATTCATAGTCAGTTCTTATTTGAAGACTGTCTTAAGTAACGTCTTATGGGCCTTCTACAATAAAGCGGGGAGCACATACTTTTGCATAACGCATAAAGCATGTGCATAAGGAATTTCATTGGTCCATTTTCTTATGCCTGAGTCAATGGACCAATCAAATTCTTTATGTATATGGTTTATGCGTTATGTAAAAGTCTGTGCTCCCCGCTTAAGGCGAGAAACACACACTTTTGCATAACGCATAAACCATATACATAAAGAATTTGATTGGTCCATTGACTCATGCATAAGAAAATGGGCCAATGAAATTCCTTATGCACATACTTTATGCGTTATGCAAAAGCTGTGCTCCCCGCTTAATGCCTAGTTCACACTAGGCGCGATGAGCGATGCGTGACGAGCGATAACCAATAAGAACTCTTCTTTACATCGTCATGTGAGCTAAAGCAAAGCTTTTATTGGTTATCGCTTGTCGTTCATCGCCCATCGCATCCAGTGTGAACTAGGCATAAGCCATAAGTTACTCACATGACATAAGTGTTAAGTCACAATTATAAGTCATAAATCTTAAGGAATTTGCATCTTTATTAAGTCGTATTAGATCCATATATGTAATACTACTATGTGGCTAGATGAGAGAGTAGTCCATTTCCCAGAACCACGGTGCGGGAATATACTTCTCTCTCTTTCTCAGGTTACTTTGAACGTTGTGCGCATGCGTCAGATTCATCCCCTCCATCAATGATAAATAGAAGGATAAATATACATATATGTGTAAGGAAGAAGGAAAAAGTGATTGATTCCGCTTCAGGATATAACCTTGTTACAGTTAACAGAGTCAGTTTTGTCGAAATAAATAAATTAATCCTAATTTAATGAAATAAATTTTTTCAATATGTCGTTATGTATATAAGAATACAGTGCAATCCCTTACAGAGATTTCATGATAATCAGTTTATTAAATATTTTAATTTTTTAAGTATTTTTCACTATTTTTTAATACTACAAATTTAATTTTCAATATTTAATATTTATTACCAATATTAAATTTCTGTTAAGGATGTATTCTTGTAAGTACTGGAACAAACATGTGTTAAGTAGATGTAAAAAGTAAAGATAACGTTAGAGAGAGAGAGAGAGAGTTTTATTTAAAGTTATTAAAGTTCATTTAAAGTAATACCTAGTACAGTATCTTATTGATGATTAAATAATATTAGTTTAGTAAACTTATTTCTAACATAATTGTTTTTACTCGACATATACTTTTTGCTTCATGATGTAATCTTACATTTAAATATAAGGTTATGACATATTTACACAACTGAACTCGATGATTATTCAGTACGTCTTGCGTTTTTATGTGCGCGTCCATTACATTGCTTGAAAAGGGAATGCCTATTTGACTAAAAATTTGATTAAGCAAAATTGTTTTTATATTTTTTATTTGTAAGTTGTTGGAGGACTGTCTAATTACTTTCTCTAAAATGTGGCATATGGAGCATACATCGGGAGACGGTGTCAAATACGGCCCTCGGTTTTTAATTGCAGACTGCATTGGCATTTCTGCATCTACACTCAACTGTGCCTTACATATATACATTGTATAATGTTTCTAACTTTGTATTCTTCATCATGTCTTCTAAATAAGTGATACGCTTCAGCAATTTCCTGTTTTGGCGATGAAGTTGTTTTATTTGTTCTCGTTTCTTGGCATCGTTCTGCTTCACAAGTGTAATTACCCGTTTAGCTCTTCTGGGAGTTGCGACGTCAGAAACACAAATTTCAGAAATGAAGCGTGGTTCTGCAACTCTGCGTTTCTTTGGAGTGCACACATCTACTTCAAAACCTGAAATAAAAAGAGAAGCATATACATTGTATTATACATTGGCCCGTATTCAGAACGCGCTAACAACAATGTTAGCGCGCTAATATGCTACAGTTTACGTCACGTATACTATAGAATTTCAGAGATAAAAGCGCGCTTTTATCGATAAAAGTTCTGAATACGGGCCATTATGTATAGACATTAATTTTGTCATTTCAATTTTCTCGATTTGTAATAAAGAAAAACAAATATTGATGTATAATTTCTCAAATTCCGATTTTTAATTTACAGTATTATCAGGATTTTATTAATATTATAACTTTAACAAATACCTCCAGTATCATCATTAGGAGCTTCATTATTCGAATTTTCTCCTGATGATATATGTGGTATATTCTCACTGGCAATATCTGTGGGTTCTGTGATTTCCTTTAACACACACAACGTAGGTGATCGATGATAATTGACTTTTGTGTCTACAACTGTAGCAAGCTCGTTACTAATATCGCAGATCATCTTTCCCTCAAGTGATACACTTTCCCTGATGGATATATCTTGACGTTGGACAGTTTCATTTCTGATGTACATGACTTTTTGGGCATTTGTCACTGATATAGAAGGAACTACTCCTGGAAGTAGACAGTTCCCAAAAAACTTTCCCCGTAACAACTTAATTTTTTTCTCTTTATCCTTGAAATGACACGAACAAATGTATACCTTTGATACATCATCAGCTTCGGATAAATTACAGGCACTTAACCATTTTAAGCGAAGCTGTCGTTCTTTTGGAAATCTAAAAATAACAGCCAAATTTAAATTTTTTGCACTTAGAAGAGTGAAATTTTTCACTTGAGAAAATTCAGAGAGCATCAATACGTAAACAAGCCACAGTAAATATTAATCGTTCATATAACTGATTTTATACCTGTGCAAACTAATGTTTTCAGTCGCATTAGGCTTTTTACCACATAAATAACATATCTGGACCATTTTGTTTGTATACAGCACACATCTAATAAGCATAACGAGCATAACCTGTTCGCGTCATCTCACTGATCGCACTCTATTTTCCTGTTGGCGGATGCGATCAATTCAACGCATGCGCACAACACTCAAAGTAATCTTAGAAAGAGAGGGAAATATATATTCCCGCACCGTGGTTCTGGGACCGCTTCCTCTCACTCCCTCTTATGGCCAATTTCACCAACGTCGGTTAAGCTAACCGACGGTTAATTCCAATGGAATTATCTAATCGCATTTGTCTTTGACCAGAATGAACCAATCACGATTGACACTTTAACCGTCGGTTAGCTTAACCGACGTTGGTGAAATTGGCCCTTATAGGCACAAGAGACCTAGAAAACAGAGATGCGTCATTGAAGGGTATGGCTTGATTGGCTGTCTAAATCACGTGATCAGAGTGCCATTTTAATTCACTATTGCATCTAATAGATATAGTTTTATAACGTATGTACATATATAGAGAAAAATTTAGACAATACAGTGTCGAATTGCAATAAAAAACTATTTTTATGGTGTAAGTATTCTTATTTGTATGAATATTTAATGTCGGACTTAACCTAGCCTAATCTAATCTTTCTACCTTTTGCATCAACTGTCATCAGCTTATAGGTCAAGAGCACTTATATTGAATTAAAATGGCGGTGGTTACCTAACCCAACCGACGCAATGTCGCATCTCTGTTTTCTAGGCCTCTAATAGGCACTAGCCATATAGTAGTATTACATATATGGTAGAAAGCCCATTAAGACGCGAATGCAGCCCTCTGATTGGTTCGTACGTAAGCGGATTAGCGGATCGCCAATCATAGAATCGTTCTGTTAGATTTGCTTGCAAAATTTGCAAACAGATCTAATAGAACGATTCTGTGATTGACGATCCGCTAATCCGCTTACGCACGAAAAGCTCCATTAGTAGGGGAGGCCAAGCGGGGATTTTGGGATTTACTCGAGCGAGTCAGAATAACATAAAGGGGGAAAGCTTGCACCCTAATAAGTACCCTCACCAAATATTAAACCTCTATACAGAGCCGGGGGTCCAGGGGATTAGTAAATAAAAAAAATCGATCATTCAAAAACTCGAGCGCGTCAGATTAAGGTATGGTGTGTTAATTACATGTAGAAAAGTGTACATTTCAAAAATCTGACACGCTCGAGATGCGCTCTGGATTTTTTTTTTCCCCCTTTTTTGACCCCTTCCTACAGCTAACCCCACCACGTAAACCGTCAGATTAATATTTATCCGTTATCAGAAACACATGGGTCGCTTACACTATTAATATCTGACACGCTTCGAGTATTGCATTGTCACTGTTTTTTTTTTTGAAAGCCTGTACACGCTCCCCCACCACTGAAACGGCATACATCATATAACCTTTTTTTCTTTTTAGCATCTAATCTTCACAATCCAATAGGTCCCCACGACGCTCGAGTAAATCCACATTTAGCCTCTCGGCCTCCCCTACTACATGGGACATTACCTTGATGACTAGTTCATACTGGATGCGATGGGCGATGTACGACAAGCGATATCCAATAAAAGCTTTGCTTTAGCTCACACGACAATGTAAAGCAGAATTCTTATTGGTTATCGCTCGTGGCGCATCGCTCATCGCGCCTAGTGTGAACTAGGCATGAGAGCGGCCATGCCCGAGATTTTGTCTGGTTTATGCTTCAGGTCTTAATCCCAAGATCCTAAAATTCAACCAATAAAGCTGCCAGTTCTAACTGAAATTTGAACTCTATTGGCTGAATTTTAGGATTAAGCCTTAAAACCGAAGCATAAACCAGGCATTAGCTGTTACTTTATTTTGAAGCGCTTCTATATCCACAAAACGTGGACATTGAACTATGTAGCCAATATCCACGATCGTGTCGGTAATGTCCACGATTTGTGGTTCGAATCTTCCCTATGTCCATGATTATTTTGGTCCGTTAGCAGACAAAAGGCCTGTTCTTTTTCTCTGCACTGTGCCCACAGTGCAATAAGTTGAAGTGAAACAGATATACGTTGTTTCACTTCAACTTATTGCACTGTCAAAACTGGTGCAGACAGTGCAGGCAAAAAGAACAAGCCTAAAGACAGACAATCAATCGATATACTAGCGTTCATTTTTGTGATATGGGAACTAGATACCCATTCTGCGTGGCGAAACTGTCGATAAAATCATAGTATCAAATAAGAATGTGATGCGTGTCTGTACTAATAGAAAGAAGCCTGGCGAAGATTCGAACCAAAAAATCGTGGACATTACCGACACGATCGTAGACATTAGCTACATAGTTCAATGTCGTTTTGTGGATATAGAGGCGCTTCAAAATAAAGTAACAGCTAAATCCCAGGCATGGCCGCTATCAGGCTTCTCTCTGCTGATAGAGGTTAATAGTGGTAAAATTCTACAATTTCTCGCTTCGCGTGGAACAAAGTAACGCTTTTTTCTAACCTATTCCTTCTTTTCAGATAGGAACGCATTGAAGAAGAATTCAAGAATTTTATCGATTTTTGAGCTGGCGGAGCTGAATGATTTACTTATTAATAAAAAAATCCCCGCTAAAGATAAAAATTATATCAAATTAGTGCTTTGTTAATTAAATATACATATTGAAAGAATGAATCACTTATTATATACAGTTTTATCTTTATTTATCATTGCAGTAAGTAATAGAAAAACTAATCGTGTGTATCCGAATTTTATTTTCAAAGTATCTCATATTTTTCTTAAAACATAATTTATACACGTATTATAAATCTAAAAAATTAATTACTACAAAATTTGTCGGAATCATGATAGGTATTAATAATTAATTTCATAGATGGACGTTGCTGTCACAGAATTTTCGGCAGATGATTGTAAAATGTTGGGATTTAATAAAGCCAATGTGCTTTGCTCAACTTGCAAACATTTTACCAAATCTGATCTAGAAAAAATTTAGTATGTAAAATTTCATTCTATTAAAAATTATTACGAGTCTTCTAAATGTAAATATATCTTCTTTTTCATTTCTAGTACTACATGTAAGGAATGTTGTCTAAAAGATAATGATTACGAATTGTCAAAACGCTATCCCAAAGCAGTCCTTGAAGTGTGCACATGTAAATTTGGACAATATCCACAAATACAAGGTATTCATATATACAATTATATATGTAATATTGCACGAATAATACAATATTATAATTTCAAATTCAATGTCTAATATATTTGTTTTAGCTTTCATCAAAAGCAATCGACCGAAAAAGTATAAGAATCTCAATATAAAGTATGTAAGAGGTTTAGATCCAGTCATTAAATTGTATGATGCAGAAAATAAAATTGAAGATGTACTTGATATACACAAGTGGGATACAGACTCTGTAGATGAATTTCTGTCAACTCATCTTTCTAAGAATTAAAATGAGAAAATATTGCATTACATGATTGTTTCTATTGAACTCTTAATAAACTGTCTTGTTAATATAAACATTATTACATATACAGTACATATATGTGATTATGCATTATTTCCTAATTCTATATGTATTCAATATATTGCCTAATATTCAGTTATCTCTTCGATAATACAAATTCTTTTTTAACAGCTCAAATCTTAATATAATCTAATGTTTCAATTTCTTCAAAAATGTATAGCACACTTTTAAATAGATACAAAAAGATTTTTTTCGCCAAAATGTCTTATCTTATAACGAGATTACAATTGATCTGTCTCTTCGTGCATAGAAACACTAATAGATAACACTCTGTTTGTTATTATTGAAAATGATCATAACACTCGTGCGCATACGATTAAAATAAAATATAAAATTAGAAATCTATAATGTTATCACCATTTCTAATATCTCTTAAATACACAAACGATTCAATGAAAAATCGGTTTTTTTTTTTAAATTGAATTAAAGAGTAAAGGAGATTCGTTTGGAAATTCTTGTAAAATCTTCACCATTAATATTAATAAATGATATAAGAAGATTTTTATGGATATATATATTATATATGAAGAACAAAGAGACGTACCTAAATTTGACATTATGTATTTCGATTACGTATACCATCATATTAGTTGTGTGCTTAGAATTTTATGAAGTTCACTGTTTACATTTAAACCATTCTTTTTCTTGATATTGTATACACAACTTCTAATTATATTAATGGAACATCTAATATTTATCATATTTATTATAGTATATAATATATATATACTATACATATATGTGTGTGTATGTGTGTGATTTTATATATATATATATATATATAAAAAAAATATATATATATATATATATATATGTATGTATGTATGTATGTTTGTATGTATATATAGTTAGCAATGATTTTAAAATATATGACAGAAAAGTTATTATGGTTGTAGCTAAAGAGAAGAGAATCCATCATTTATATAAAAAAAAATCTGAATCTCTCCATGGTGCTAATGCAGTAGGTCGTTTATAGTTATGAACTTATAATTAAGAACTTCTCAGCAAACAAGCTGACATCGTTATTTTGATGTTAAAGACGCCATTTTGATCTCAAAATAACAATAAATAACATCAGTTTGTTTGCTGGATTACCATCAATTATTATGTACAACCTTAGTCAAAAATATTAAGCACTTTATTAACCATTATTTAACATTTTAGTTCAAAAATTGATTTGTTATTGTTATCTGAATATACTCTTAATACACACCTATTTTCACTTTACGTGTCTTTTATGACTACTTAATGATTGTAAGGGGGCGGCTCATTTTTTCACGTATTTTAAAGCGTTCTTATTTTTTTTTACAGAAAAATTCTCTTTATTGGCATATGCAAGAAACTTCAATACTTATGTAATTTCGCGCTTATGTCAGATTCAGGATACTGATCATGTAATTTTTTCTCTAGAGCGAAAACATGAAATGAACATTTTTATGTATGTATATATGTATGAGTATACACATACCTCTATGTACAAAAAATTTTCATTTTTCACATTTCCACTCTGAGGAAAAATACATGATTGATACTTTGGAGTGGCCAAATTATTGAGACATTTACACAGTCATATAAAAATCTTCGAATTGATTGAACAGGATCAAAAATTCTTTTAAAGGATTAAAGTAAACGCAAAATTAGAAGACAGTGTAGTAAATTTTATACTAAAATCGAAAAAAAATTATAAACTTACTTACTTTTTAACTCTTAGAGCTGTTACCTGACAGATGATTCCTTAATACAAAAGTTGGTAAAACTTCCCCTTTACAGTCAGCCTCAAATGACTTCCGAGTGTCAACCTTGACCTTGAGGGTCAAGAAGATCAAGGTCATTGACCGTTCCCGTCGCTCGTTATTTGTTGAAAAGTTATTAATTAAAGCATTATAACATTATTTTTAAAACTTTTTTTATTAATAACTTCAACGAGCGACGCGAACGATCAATGATCTTGACCTTCTTGAAGATCAAGGTCACTCGGAAGTCATTTGAAGCTGACTGTGTAAAGGGGAAGTTTTACCCAAAAGTTTTATAATTATATTATACCAGGTGTACAAGCATGAAGTGTAGATTTGAGACAACATATGGTGCATGAATGCAGTGTGTAGTATAAAGATTTGACGTATATGCCATTTGTTGTGACATCAACAAGTGTCAAACGCGCATAAGTGATAAATTGAAAAAGTGTTTGCATAGTATTGTTTTGCTGTGTTCAATATGTCGAAATTTGTGCCAAATAAAGAGCATTCGCCGACAGCATTAACTTTTTGTTTTCATTTGAAGAAAACTGCTGCTGAATCATACCGATTACTTCCAGAAGCTTATAGTGAACATGCTCCATCGCAAGATACGTGTGAACGATGGTTTCGGCGTTTCAAAAGTGGTGATTTCGATGTTGTAGACAAGGAACACAGAAAACCACCAAAAAGATACGAAGATGTAGAATTGCAAGCACTGTTGGACGTAGACGATTCACAAAAACAACTCGCAGAGCAATTGAGCGTTAGTCAAGCTGTTTCTAATGCTTACAATTTAATTGAGAGATGGGAAAGATTCAGAAGGTCGGCAGATGGATACCACATGAGTTGAACGAGAGGCAGATGGAGAGGCGCAAAACATGTGAAATTTTGCTCGAATGATATAAAAGAAAGTCGTTTTTGCATCGTATCGTTACTGGGGATGAAAAGTGGATATATTTTGAGAATCCCAAGCGCAAAAAATCATCCACATTAACCACAAGATCGAATCGCTTTGGTAGGAAGACGATGCTCTGTGTTTAGTGGGACCAGAAGAGTTTGGTCTATATATATATATATATTATATATATATTATGAGCTGTTAAAGCCTGCTGAAACGGTTAATACCAAACGCTACCAACAATTGATCGATTTGAACTGTTCGTTACTCGAAAAACGACCAGAATATCGAAAAAGGCAACACAAGATTATTTTTCTCCATGCTCTATCACATACAGCAAAACCGGTTCGTAACACGTTGGAAACACTCAGCTGGCAAGTGCTAGCCCATGCGGCTTACTCACCAGACTTTGCTCCTTCTGATTACCACTTGTTTGCATCGATGGGTCACACACTTGCTGAGCAGCGCTTTGGTTCGTACGAAGTGAAAAAATGGCTCGATGAATGATTTGCGGCAAAAGGGGAAGATTTTTACTGGCGTGGGATCCACAAATTACCCGAAAGATAGAAAAAAATGTGTAACTAACAATGGAGTATACTTTGAATAAACCACTTTTTATCATTCTTTCGAAATTAACGTGTTTTTTTTTTGGGGAAAAAAAATCCGCATTTCATACTTGTACATCTGGTAAATATATAGACAAAATGACGGTGCCATCCGTCAGATTATGTGAACAAACAATACTAAAAATTAATAAAATTAAGAAAGATTAAAAAGATTTATATATTGATCTCTGCAAATAAGGAGTGGACTTTCAAAATACATTTTGTCCAAAATTTATAATTTTTAGAAAACAAAAAGGAAAATTATAAGGAAACAAAGCGCCTTATAGAAATTAACAATTTACCAACTAGTAAGATGTAAAATTATTAAATTATCTCTAATAATGTTAAATAAATGCATTTTGTTCGTCTCTAGTTAAAGGACATAATGCACTTCAAATGTTTAGAATTTTTTCGTAACATAAATTGATGATAAAAAAAATGCTTTCAGAACATCGTAAAGTAGACTATACCATCTATAATTTAAAAAATAAAATTTAGGACAAAATACATTTTGGAAGTCTGCGCTTCAAATTACGCATACACGTATGCTTACAATTAGTAGACTCGGAATGGTAAACAAAGCAGTAACTGTATTCAGCAGTAGGATCTTGAGAAAAAATAACGTTGTAATATGTTATAAAAAAAGGACAGATGTAAGCATTTGAATGAGACAGAATGATAATGTAAGAAATAGATTTAAAATGTCACTGTTATCGACATTCGATCCGTTATTCTAGCATCGCCTTAATAGCAAACAATATAATTTCAGGTAATATAATTTCAGATTAATAAAACAAATATAGCTCCCTAATATTTTGACCAAGACTGTATATTCACATACAACGTTAATGTTAATAATTAATGTGCAATATTAATATGTATATTAATATCCCACTCATGATAAAAACGTGTTCTATTCATTAAAATTTATCCGAATGAATACGAGATACGGAATTAAATTGTTCTTATATCAATATTATTTTTTCCTCATGTTTACTTTCATATTTCCGTAAATCGCAGCGTTATCTTATCGCCGGGATCTCTTAGCACGCGGACCACCGCGACCACGTACAAATCCACGACCTCTAGGTTGCTTTATTTGAGGACTATGATTTCGTTCTACCTTCGTTACAGATTTTTCAGGTTCTACATGTTCTTTTTCATCTGCCTCATCAATCAAATTACCCATTTCAACATCATTATCATTGTCCATATCTGCCCATACTTCATCAACTGAAGGTTTTGTTGTATCCTGTGTATTAGTAGCGTTTTCTACATTGGTCTCTTTCGTATCCTCCTCCGTTTCGCGATTTTCGTCCTCCTCCGATTCGGCAGCATCGGCTTCCAATGGATCGTATTTCTCTTCTCCGTCCGATTTCTTCGATGTCATATTAGCGTTATCAACACTATTCTCTTGCTCCTCTTTCGGTTTATCATCATCATCATCATCATCATCATTTTCATCATGACTAATCTTACGACGTTTCCAATGTACATCACATTCCTCCTTAATTTCAACATTTTTCTCATTCTACACACAATACAAGAATTTTAGAAGATTCTGAAAAAAAGTTTACTTTATTTTTTTACGAGATATAATTACTTACTTCGGTTTGTTCAGTTTCTTTCGACTCTATAGCTGGTACGTTCGATGTTAATGACTTTACTTCTGCTACAAAGTTCCGATA